TGTTTGGGGGTGGGGCTCCACTGAGGGGTTGCAGGATTGGGCCAGGCACTGGGTGCAGAGCTGGGCGGGTGCACTGGGCTTGGGGTGATTGTGAGGAGTTGCGTTTGGTGTCTCTATTATTATTATTGTTTTTGCGAGGGGGGGGATCTTGCATTTAGTGGTGTCTGGGGGAGTTGTATGGGGGGACAGATCTTATTTCAGGGGGATTAGTTTTTAATCTTTGGTTTTGGGGCACTGAGTCAGATGTAGATTTGGGGGGCTTGCTTCTTTTTTTTTTTTTTTTAGGTGCTCCAGAGTAACCTGGGCTGTGTGAAAATGACTAAGTGATTTCAGCCCATTTGATGGGGTTGGATTTATTGTAGGATTAGTAGTAGATTTTGAAGGAGAGTTTCTTGCACTTGAGATATATTTTGTATTCCTTTCCCCACACACTAGGTGGATTTCTTAGATTTGGAGGGCTGGATTGGTTTTGGTGGCTTACAGTTTTGGGGGGACAGTTGTGTTTTGGGGGTATTGCTCTCACAAGGCTGAGAGTGGGTTGCTGTGGGTGGACTCTGAATCTCCCCCCTCCCCCAGTGTGAGTAAATTTTTATCCAGCGTCACTGATGCCAGAACAAGGCCCCAGAATGAACGGTTTCTCTCTGGGCGAGCTGTGCTGGCTGTTCTGCTGCCCACCTTGCCCTAGCCGCATTGCTGCCAAGTTGGCTTTCTTGCCCCCGGAGCCCACGTATACCGTGCTGCAGTCTGAGCAGCAGCAGCAGCAGCAGGAGGCTGGGGCTGCAGCAACAGGGTCTGGGACTGCAACAGGGTCTGGGACCCCAACAGGAATGGGCAGCTGTAGTCTGCATTTGAGTGAGCGGGCGGACTGGCAGTATTCACAGCGGGAGTTGGATGCCGTAGAGGTTTTCTTTTCTCGCACATCACGGGATAACAGGCTGGGGTGCATGTTTGTGCGCTGTGCCCCTGCCAGCCGGTATACGCTGCTCTTCTCGCATGGCAATGCTGTGGATCTGGGCCAGATGTGCAGCTTCTACATTGGCCTTGGCTCTCGCATCAACTGCAACGTCTTCTCCTACGACTACTCTGGCTACGGGGTGAGCTCAGGCAAACCCTCTGAGAAAAACCTGTATGCAGACATAGACGCAGCCTGGCAGGCCCTCAGGACAAGGTAAATTGGTGTTGGGGACAAGGTACCAGGGCATGGCTCTTGGCCTGCTAAGGAATATGGGTATTTCTGCATACAGCTCTCACCCTGTTAAACTCAACATCTGTATACTTAACCTGCTAAGGGGTGGGAGGAAGAAGTCTGTATACACTTCTTAATCTGCTAAGAGGTGTCTGGTTGTTTTTGATGGCCTCTTCAGGGGCACCAGTAACAGTTACATGAGGAACTGCATGGCTTGGATTGGTAATGAGATTTTGCTTATTGGGTCTTCTCTATATGTGAGATTCAGTCATCAGTAGCCAACAACCAATGTCGCCACACCACTGCCTATGTCCATTGATAAAGGAAGCTGTTATGTGCATTGGTTGAGCTTATCTCACCTTGACACCAGGTTGAGCTTAGTGGCTGCAAATCACAACTTTGTCTATGATTGGGGTTTGCATTGGTGCACTTACAACATTTGTTGGCCAGCAGTGGCTGAATTGGGGCTAATCCCACATATAGACAAAGTTTGGGTAACAAGTTTGAATGTAGATCAGGTTAGTGATGACCAAAAAAACAGTAACCATCTGATGGGAATTCGAGGTTGGGAGCCCCATGTTCCATGCAAACTCTATAACACAGGCCTTCCTCTTTAGCAGTAGGGCAGGAGAGAAGAGGAGGGGACAACTTGTAGCTGAATTCGCTGCCTGGCATCCTGAGGTCTTACAGCCTGCCAGAGCAACCTGGCCAGTGTGAAATGAGTAGGTGGTTTCAGCCTATTTCCCTGGGTGCAGGTGTCCACCTCACAAACCATCACCAGAATTGCTACTAATTGGATCTCCCTGTTTGCAATGGAGCATCCAGGGATTAAATAGGCATAGAGTCCAAACTATCCTCTGCCAGTGACCTGTCTTGGTCAAGTTTTAAGCATGCTGTTGGGTGGGAAAGTAGGTGTAGGAAAGCATACTCTTTTGCTGTATGTACTGTAGCTGTTGTTTGGTGGGTTAAATGAGTTGAGTTCTCTCGGGCAACTCTTGAGAATACTGAAACTGCTTGAAAAACTGAGTTAGTTAATTTGTAAAGAACTACTAGGGCATGTGATGTAGCCTAGTGTAATGAAAGAATGGATCAAATGTGTTGTAATACTTAGGCACATGGTGGATAAGATCTAAGGGAGGAGAAGTGCTATATAAGAGCCAAGTGTTAAGGTGACTGTGGTTTGTTTTCCCCTCTCTAGCCCCACCTTTAATATTGTCTAAATCAGACTTGAAAAATTGCCATGAAAACTTACCAATCTAGGGACACATTCTCTTCGTCCATTCTTTTAGATCGTAAGACTAAATATTTTACTTGCCGCTTAAAAATGATTTGGTTCAAGTGACTAGAATTTTACAAGACTGATCTAAACCTGTTTTGTGGCTTTATTTTACCCACAGGTAAAAGTGCTGCTTTCTTACTTTATTTCCTAAGGCAGACAGGGTGATACTTGTTGAGTGAAGGAGGACGCTCCTTGTTGTGTGTGTGTGTATGTTTCAATTCTTAACATTACATTAACAGATTCAGACTTTATAACATTTATTTTGACTTCTGAGAGCCGTGACGATTATAATCAATGAATTTGGTGCCTTATTGACATGTTGATTCTGGCCATGGAGATTTACATGATTCTGACAGAGATATGTGTGCTTAAATGTGTGTGCATGTGTGTACATTGAGCACTGCTGGTGAGGAGGAAGTTTTCTGTAGTAAATGTATGTACAGAATTGATGCCAGCTAAGGGATCAGTTGCTACAGAATGTAAGCTTTTATCTTTTTAAAAAATCTCTGGCTTCCTAGTTGTAAAGAAAATCTTTTAAATATGAACCAGCACAAAAGTGTCTTCCTGAGCCTGCAGACATTTCCTCATATATTTTCTAAGCAGCATATCAAAATTAACAAGCTTCTGGTCAGTTTCACAGCCACTATTTAGAATTTCAGGCAGCATTACAACTGAGACACACTATCTGTAAGAGCTTTCATTATAAAAATGCAAGCCTGACCCGTAATATGTTAAAATACATGTGTTATACTTGTGCACTATACCATTACAGTAATAGTTAAGGCTCATTTGGACCTGGTTTTGTATCAGTAAAACTGCTGCAATGGAGTCTGTGATTTCCACCTCAAATTCACAATACTTAGACATATTGTAATGAAGTGCAATGCTAACTTAAGTCATGTCCTGAAATATATGAAAAGTGCCTCATGCTAACGAGGCCCCGGGAAGCATTTAGGTGTCCCTATAGGTTCTTCTGAGTTCACCAAAGACACCCTTAGAATCTTCAGCTTGAAATGTTACAGATCTGGAAGAGTCATTTGTTGTCTATGACTACCAGTGTTGGTGGCATCCAAGAAAGAAGTATTCAGGATGTCTCTAATTAGCCTGAAAGGGTAGACATGAAACCCAAAGATGATTTTGATGACAAAACCAAACATTTTTGCTTAATCACTCAGGCCCCTGCTTTGCTGCAAGAGGGGAATGTTCAGAACATTTCTGAATTTTACTCCATCTTAGTTGCACAGTTACCCTGTAAAGAACTACTAATTTTAGTAAAGTTAATACTGATTTTTATCAATATATATTTAATATTACCATCAGTATTCAGGCAAGACTGGCATTAATTCTTAATTGGAGTGTGGGGGAACGGTTCTCTTTACCCCTGTGTATCTGTACCGTGTTCATTGAGCTGTTGAACGTGTATACAATGAATTTATGTTAACAAATTGTTTTTTAATATTTTGTCTGTAATAGGCAATGGATGGAAAATAAACCATATAAAAAGTAGTTTTAATATGTGTTCACTAGCTGCTATTTGTAAATATACAGGAGTTCCTATAGTGAGTGTTGCAACTCTGCCCATTGGGGTTCCCAACTATATAATAATTTGAATAATACTGGGCCTGATCTTGGGACACAAACCTGTCAATTCTGAAAGTGATAACTGGGAATTCTTAAGTAATCAATATAATTAATCTATAGATCAGGCTACATAAGCACCTCAGCTTTTATTAATTCTTTACTCCATATGTGAACTAGAACAGTGTCTCTCAAACTGGGTTCTGTGACTTCTCGGGGTCTGCAGGCCCCGCTGATCAACTCCTCCCCCTCCCTCCCAGTGCCTCCCTACCTGCCCTGGTTCCGCACCGCTCTCGGAAGCGGCTGCCACGTCCTGCAGCTCCTAGGCGCATGGGTGGCCAGGGAGCCTCCATGCGCTGCCCAAGTGCCGGCTCTGCACCTCCCATTCTGCACCCCAATCCCCTGACCCAGCCCAGAGTCCCCTTCCACACCCAAACGCTCTCCCGGAGCTTGCACCCCCCTCAACCTCCAGCCCTGAGCCCGCTCCTGCACCCCAAATCCCTCATCCCCAGCCACACCCCAGAGAACATACCCCCAGCTGGAGCCCTCAGCCCCCCTGTGCCCCAACCCCCAGCCCAGAGCCCCTTTCTGTGCCCCAAACCCCTCATCCCCAGCCCAGAGCCTGCACCCCCTGCTGGGGCCCTCACCCCCCCATACCCTAATCCCCTGCCCCAGTCCTGAGTCTCCTCCCGCACCCCAGCTCCCTTCCAGAGCCTGCACACCCTGAACTCCCTCCTATATCCCAAACCCCTCATCCTTGGCCCCACCCCAGAGCCCATATCCCCATCCGGAGCCCCCACCCCAAGCCTCTTCCCCAGCCCAGTGAAAGTGAGTGAGGGAGAGCGAGCAACAGAGGGAGGGGGGGATGGAGTGAGTGGGAGGAGGGGTCTTGGAGAATGGTAAGGGCAGGGGCGGGGCCTTGGTGAAGGGGCAGGGCAGGGGTCCCCAACATTTTTAATCAAAAATGGGGAGAGCCTCAGGTTGGTAAAGTTTGAGAACCGCTGAACTAGAAAATATATTAATCTGTCATTTTTAAAAGAAGAAAGCCAAGGAAAGTGTGGGCCCCTTAATGAATGAGGGAGGCAACCTAGTGACTGAGGATGTGGAAAAAGCTAATGTACTCAATGCTTTTTTTGCCTCTGTCTTCACGAACAAGGCCAGCTCCCAGACTGCTGCGCTGGGCATCACAACATGGGGAATAGATTGGCCAGCCCTCTGAGGAGAAAGAGGTGGTTAGGGACTATTTAGAAAAGCTGGACGTGCACAAGTCCATGGGGCCGGATGAGTTGCATCCGAGAGTGCTAAAGGAATTGGCGGCTGTGATTGCAGAGCCATTGGCCATTATCTTTGAAAACTCGTGGCGAACGGGGGAAGTCCCGGATGACTGGAAAAAGGCTAATGTAGTGCCAATCTTTAAAAAAGGGAAGGAGGAGGATCCTGGGAACTACAGGCCAGTCAGCCTCACCTCAGTCCCCGGAAAAATCATGGAGCAGGTCCTCAAAGAATCAATCCTGAAGCACTTACATGAGAGGAAAGTGATCAGGAACAGTCAGCATGGATTCACCAAGGGAAGGTCATGCCTGACTAATCTAATCGCCTTCTATGATGAGATTACTGGTTCTGTGGATGAAGGGAAAGCAGTGGATGTATTGTTTCTTGACTTTAGCAAAGCTTTTGACACGGTCTCCCACAGTATTCTTGTCATCAAGTTAAAGAAGTATGGGCTGGATGAATGCACTATAACGTGGGTAGAAAGTTGGCTAGATTGTCGGGCTCAACGGGTAGTGATCAATGGCTCCATGTCTAGTTGGCAGCCGGTGTCCAGTGGAGTGCCCCAGGGGTCGGTCCTGGGGCCGGTTTTGTTCAATATCTTCATAAATGATCTGGAGGATGGTGTGGATTGCACTCTCAGCAAATTTGCAGATGATACTAAACTGGGAGGAGTGGTAGATACGCTGGAGGGCAGAGATAGGATACAGAGGGACCTAGACAAATTGGAGAATTGGGCCAAAAGAAATCTGAGGTTCAATAAGGATAAGTGCAGGGTCCTGCACTTAGGATGGAAGAACCCAGTGCACAGCTACAGACTAGGGACTGAATGGCTAGGCAGCAGTTCTGCGGAAAAGGACCTAGGGGTGACAGTGGACGAGAAGCTGGATATGAGTCAGCAGTGTGCCCTTGTTGCCAAGAAGGCCAATGGCATTTTGGGATGTATAAGTAGGGGCATAGCGAGCAGATCGAGGGACGTGATCGTCCCCCTCTATTCGACATTGGTGAGGCCTCATCTGGAGTACTGTGTCCAGTTTTGGGCCCCACGTTACAAGAAGGATGTGGAAAAATTGGAAAGAGTCCAGCAAAGGGCAATAAAAATTATTAGGGGTCTGGAACACATATGAGGAGAGGCTGAGGGAACTGGGATTGTTTAGTCTGCGGAAGAGAAGAATGAGGGGGGATTTGATAGCTGCTTTCAACTACCTGAGAGGTGGTTCCAGAGAGGATGGTTCTAGACTATTCTCAGTGGTAGAAGATGACAGGACAAGGAGTAATGGTCTCAAGTTGCAGTGGGGGAGGTTTAGGTTGGATATTAGGAAAAACTTTTTCACTAGGAGTGTGGTGAAACACTGGAATGCGTTACCTAGGGAGGTGGTAGAATCTCCTTCCTTAGAAGTTTTTAAGGTCAGGCTTGACAAAGCCCTGGCTGGGATGATTTAATTGGGGATTGGTCCTGCTTTGAGCAGGGGGTTGGACTAGATGACCTCCTGAGGTCCCTTCCAACCCTGATATTCTATGATTCTATGATATGAAATGGTCTGTCTCTGAGTTGGAGGTAAGCAAAATATGGTGGATAAAAATTAGGAAGTGGATTTTTTTGTTTAAATTAAATACAGGTTTTTAAAAAATAAACCTATTTAAAATTAAATTAGAAATTACAACAACCTATGTTCGTCCTAATCTTATTATAATCTATTAAAATAATTTATATTAAAATAATCATATTAAGCTGTACATGTTTGCTGAAGTTTTAAAGAAAGTGAAAGCACTGAACTTTTGGAAGTCAGTGGCTAAGCACCTCTAACTATTGTTACAATTAAAGATCTGAAAGGATTTCTATTACAAACTCATTTTAAGGGATTAATTTATTTTTAAACATCTGCAGAGGCTGAAGCATGGGGTTTGCTGTTTGTAAGTTTATAAATGGAGAAAAATTGATCAGTATTTCCAATTATTTTGCTTCAGGGTGGACTGGTTTAAATGAAAGCAATTTAAATCACTGATTTTTAATCATGATTTAAATAAGCAGACAGGAAACCTTGATTTTAATAATCAGTTTTAATCTTGTTTTGTATTTGTACTTTTTAGGTATTTTCCTAAAGAGAGGCTGTTTCCCCTGGTTGGTAACCATTAAAACATGTTGATTTGCAACTAAATATAGGCTTTACACTAAACTTGGTGCTTTTTTGCTAATAAGGATACACTATCTTGATGCACATTTATTTAATCAACTATATAGCTTAACTGAAATTTGTATAGATTCTTAATTTTTACGTTTTTTATTATGTTAAAAAATGGTGAACGATGCAATTCTTACTAGATGACTGATTTTTTTTTTACTTGTGATTTGTGTCAAGATCGTTTTGGAAATTTGAATTCAACAAATAATGCACAAAAATGGCATTTTAAGATTGTTTATTGAATAAAACTACTTCATATGTGCTGATACATAAAAAAAGTTTATCAAAAAGTACTGTACATGAAAACATATTTTGTATTTTAAATTAACTGATTTATTAAACAAAGTATTATCCATACTAAGTGAATTGAACAGATTGTTTTCTGGTCTCTGTTGTCCTATTAGAACTAATGGATCTCATCCTCTCTCACCTAGTTTTTATTTATAGATTGGAGAAGAAAAACAAGTCTTCCTGCTTTTTCTACTCCCAACTGGTTTGTTAACTTTGAATAAACCAGTGATTGATCTGAACTAATTGAATAAGCTGAAATGAAGAAAATATTCTCTCTGCATCTGTAGAAAAGACTACTTCTGTCCAAAGCTAGTTCAGCACTTTAACAAACAGTTGTTTGCTAGAGCCCTTATAATTACTGTGTGCTCATAAACTGAGGAGTTGAGGCTGAGATCAATCTGCTTCTAGTTAATTAACACACACCCATCAAGCGCCTAATCATTTTCTGTTGGTAATTCTTGGATTTATAGGTCTAGGTGACTTTCTGTGAGTTAGATTCTTTGTTTCAGTTTGGTCCGTCTATTTTGCTTTAATTTGTTCTACAAATAGAACTGGGCATAATAGAAAGTATTTGAGACCCTGTGTCTTTTATGTCAAGATCTAATTGGGGTCAATGCTCTTTGCGGTGATATAATTAACTTTTATCCTAATATTTGATTGACTGAGACAGTGGCTGATTTGTAGGATTCCTATAGCTCGACTCCTCCCCCCCGAACTACTTGTGCAAGATTAAAAACATTTCAACAATCCTATATTAAGGTGAATTCTGTTAGCCTTATGAATAGGATACACATTTCCAATCATCCAGTTTGCGTATTCTGTTTAAACTCTTGAGCATGACCACAAACATTTTTCCCATCATTATTCTTTGATATTTTTCCTACTTCTATGTTCCTTATACTTGAGTCAATTGCAGATTGTGTAATGCTTGGAAGACTCTGGTAATGGGTATAGTATTCTCTTACTGTCATCGTGATATTTAATTAAATGTCTTTGTTAAATCTGAGTTAAATTCTACATACAGTTTCACTCAATAGAAAATAAATTAGATAAAATCGTAAACTGATCTCCTGGGCTGTGTGCAGTTATTGATTGGAGTTGATGGGAGTGAGTGATGGATAAATCAGAGCCCCTCCCCCCCCTTCATATTTTTTAGGTTACACTGGTGTGCTGATGTGCTTCAGACATGTAGGAGTGATAAAATCAACGTATGCATTCCCTAAACTCTCCAGGAAAGATTTGTGAAGTGAATTTAAAAATCCTAAATGGATGAAAGAAGGCATCACTTCACTAACTCTTTGACTCTGAAATACAGTATCAAAGTGCAACTCCCCAGTCTGCTATCTGGATGCTGTGAAGTGGATGAAGAAGTTGTAGCTGGTTATGTCTGAATCCTTGAAAGACTTGAATATCAAAAGATCTACGGAGTAATTTATTTAGGTATGACCTCTCAACGCATAACAGAGCATCAGAACAGTTCAACTTTGATTTATACTTCATAGTCAGTAGAGATCTGCTAGTTCTCTCCATTGATTCACCACCACTGAAGGAGTCAGACTTCAATATTACACAATAGGATCCAAGCGTTTCTGGTGGGAGATTATTTTCCATTGATTTAGGATTCATGATGAATCAATCCAGGAACTATTTTTCCCCAAACCATGGGGATTTTAAAGATGTCTCTTCTATTCTGAATTGTCACTTTATGCAAGCTACATTAAGGGGAGGGGAAGGAATAGAGGTATCTGTTTTGTTGGTGTTTTCTTCCCATACCCCATTCCCACCCAGTACAATTTTCTTTGCCAAACTTGTCCAAAAAAAAAAAAAAAAATTACAACTAGTTTTCATTAAAGTCAGAGCGCATAACTGCTTGAATTCTTGCAGGGAGGGTAACTAGTTACCTGAGGACGTCCTAGCACTTTTCTAAATCAGAGTGGTGACTGTCTGAGTAGAAAGGTATAGCCCACGTTAATTAGTATATTTTTTCAGAGATGAAAATAGTAGTTACTATTTTTATCAACATATTTAAACTGCCACTTTAATTTTCTTTGACATAATCTTGCTTGCGCAGCCCTCTAGCATAAAATCTTGTTCCAAAGCATTCAGATCAAATCATTCAGTTGAGTTGAATATTTGAACAACTGACTTGAGGTTTGTTTAATTAGCATAGTCTCTAAAAGAAAGGACTTCAAGAGCATCAGCCTTGTACTTTCATCTTTTTCAGGAACCAGTTAGTTGAGCAATTTATATTATGTACATTTGAGGTGAAGGGAGTTAAGATTCTTGAAACTCCTCAAACCTTCTCCCAAATGTATCTCTCTTTGGAATAATTTATGTCCGGAGTAAACTCCCACCCCAGATACACACACACATGCTCAAACAGTATGATCCAGGTGTGACCTACTAATTGGTATAATTTATCAGCATGTTTCCATTAATTTTTTTGTGTAATAGTTTTAGTACTTGCTACAAATCACATTGTACCTGTTTGTATCCTAGACTTAATTAGATGTGCATAATGTAAGAAAAATGGACCAGTTAATAATGTTAAGTAGCTATTGCCGATTTTGTTCGCTACCAGTGTAAATCTATTCAGTGTAATAAAAGAATGCGTTTACTGTACAGTACTTCCTCATTTTTGCTGTTTCACCTGATAGACAATTTTAGTTCTAGTTCCGTTTAAGCTGCAGATATTGTGGTTTTTCAAAATAGCATAGGAAGAGAGAGACTCAGAAAAAGATTCCATATTAGTATGATGTTCCTTCATTCCTTAATATGGTTTGCAAAAGTTCAAAAACTATTTTTTGCTGGCTCTTTTGGCATCTACCTGCTCTGCATACACTTCCTTGGAATCTGACTTCATAAACTGGAGTCTTCATAAATTTGTTTGGATTTGGAATTTTTCCCAAGCATTCTCAGCGTGACTCTTGGATTTTACTGGGTGGTATTTCCTATTTTTGGCCCTTTTAAGGAGATTATGGTATGAGGGCTGCAAGCGGTTATGTAATGTACACTCTTTATTTTTGGAGAAATGGTGGGGGGTTTTTTCCCCCTAAAATTTTGAAAGTATGCCCATATATCCTGGTGAACAGTGCAATTAGAATCACATGGAACGCAAATTTGATCAAAAATATGATTGCAAAATAGGGTAATGTTACTTTGTGCAGGAATGTATTATACAGCTAACTGCACAACGAACATATGTTAATGCAAATGATTAGCATGCCACAGACAAATAGATAGCTGCCCCTGGTATTCTGGTAAACATTTTTAATAACTTTGTGCATCAGATTTAGGTGTCATGTTATGTAGATTGCTTTTTGTCTTTAGTAAAATTGTAACATTTAGCAAAAATTGTCACTGATGTCAGGACTGTAAGACCAAAGCAGACTTGGAAGCTAAATTTCCATATATTTCATTGCCAAGAATAGTTTTAAATTAGCTTTGTTTTTAGCTACTCTTGGTGATATGGACAACAAAATAAAATTTGATTTTTGTTTTTTAGTTGTCTTGGGTGTAAACAGTCTTAAAATTCAGTTGTCCAAACTTGGACATATCAGTTTTTTGTTTACCCTCTCATCATAAAAGGTTCTGGGGTATAGTTCTGACTTAATTACAGCACTGGATATAAAGAACTCTACAGTGGAGGCTGGGCGAATGCTCTTCTCAAGTTGGCATGGTAAAAATAGCAGTGTGGTTATTGTGGCATGGGTGATGGCATGAGCTAGCTGCCCAAGTACAAACCCAGTGGTCAGATGGGTTTATGCTAGAGCGGCTAGCCAGTGCTGCTGCTCATGGCACAATGTCCATACTGCTATTTTTAGCATACTAGGTCGAGCGGAGCAAGTGTGTTTGTCTACTAAGGATGGGTGCTCACTTCCAGGTGCAGTGTAGACATACCCTAAGTGGTCATGAAGTGTGCCCACATCCGTGTTTAGGAACTCAAGGTATTCTTCTGCTTTCAGTGCCATGTAGTAAATTAAGTACCATGAGATATTTGAGAAAGGGAAAGGCTAAAACCATTCTTTCTCCTTTTCGGAGGTATGTGATCTCTCTGGATACTTTTCTACCTGCCCATTACCTGCCTTAAAGATGCTGGCTTGCAAGATCTGATGAGTGCATACTACGGGAAGCATTTAGATCAGTGTGAAGTAGGCACAATTGGGTGGTTTTTTTTTAAATATAAAAGTGCACCCCCCAGCACTCCAAGTTACCATGGTGTGTCTTTAAGTGCTAGGCTAAGTTTACAGTAGCTCGTTACTTGTGCACTCAAGTAAAACACAATTAGTAATGTTATCTGGGACTTCAGGGAACCAAGGGTATACATGTCATGAATAAATTATATGGGGGAAAATGTTACAACTACAACAGAAATATGGGTCAACTGTCAGCAAACTTTGTGGGCAAACTTTGACACTGTTTGAGTAAATGGACTTTAAAAGACTGAGTAGACTAAAGGAAACAAGTTTATTTTTTTCCCTAGCTAAGTCCATTTCAATTCTAAGATTCTTTTAATGACTTCCTTGCTTAAGTATACAGTAGTTTAAAGGAGATGTTGATGGCACCTGCCTTGTGGAGTCCAGCTTGCTTTAATTTTTGTTTTAAATTCTATTTTAGATTGCCACAGGAAAGCCGGGACGTGTGGTTATGGTAATTTTCACCTTAAACCCTTTTGCAAGTTTGTTTTAAGAGGATCAGCAGAAAATTAGTCTGTAAAGTTTGAGTTACACCCAGCAAAGAATGTACCTATCTCAGAACTGTGCAAACACTAATAAATGGGTGGTTAAAGAACATTGTTTTTCTCAAGCCAGTGATCCATTTAATGAGTAACCAGCACTTCCTCCACAGGTAAAGATGAATCGTTTCAAGGCAGTGTTTGGGAGAAGTTGAGAGAGCTCATGAACGAAGTGATTCTTGTGCCAGTTTAAATTAGCATACCAGTGCCTATACTCAGCATTGTTTGGCCTCTGAGTCACAAAAAAAACTGCCTTTTTTTTTCTTTCTGGATGTTGAGTAACTCTTGCGATAAAAGAAAAGGAGTACTAGTGGCACCTTAGAGGCTAACCAATTTATTTGAGCATAAGCTTTCGTGAGCTACAGCTGAAAGCTTATGCTCAAATAAATTGGTTAGTCTCTAAGGTGCCACTAGTACTCCTTTTCTTTTTGCAAATACAGACTAACACGGTTGCTACTCTGAAACCTAACTCTTGCGAATATCCTGAACTGCCATTGAGTCCAGAGATGTTGAAGGCACTCATCAATTTGCAAGATTAGGCCCCATATGTTTGACAGAATCTCTTTAGTGTGGCATGTACAGCTCTCACAATTGAGTACAGTGTGTATCTGTGGCCACTTTACATTAACTTCTTGAAATATTGACTGCTGATTTTATCTTTAGGATGTTCTGAATAAGAAAGGATGGAAGATCTAGACTTATAGTATATATGTGTGTTTTATGCATTTTGGAAAAATATCCTGCTACTCCATGGGAAAAATTTTTTCCCCAAATTTGTCAATCAGTTAAAATCAAACTGCTGAATCCCTGGAGTAGCTTACAGGTATCTAATACATATCTGATACATAGCTGAGCTAAAGCTCTTCATTAGGCATTACGTGGGGAATTGTATTTAAGATAGTACAACTATCCGTCTCATGGCAACTTCAACATCCTGCTGTATGATGCAAAATATTGAATGACTGCTGTAAAAAGCTCATTAGTTGAGTGCTGTCAGTGTACAGTCCTTTGCCTATGGAGCTTGCACAGGTTGCAGAACACTAGCATGATGCACAAGATGATCAGGTCCAGTGTCTGGAAAAATCTCCAATGCTAGAATTGTGGAATTTACATATTAATTAAAAGGAGGGATAGAAGGGAGCGGTAGAAAGAAACGAGAAGAATTTGGGAGGAGTTCAGGCAGAGGGAATCAATGGAGATGGAGACCAGGTGGACAAGTGCAGGGCCTTGACGTGAGGATGAGAACTTGAACTTGATGTGAGAGCGGAGGAGAGAGTAGCAAGTTTAGCATTCCAGTTGTGATTAATTGTTGTGCTGAATGGGAACTGTTTGTGAATAAGCAATTTTCAGGAGCAGATGGTGGTTCTTTCATCTTCTGTGTTAACTGTTGCTCTTTCCTTTTTAGATTAATGACCAGAGACTTTGAGGCAAATTAACAATTGTAAGTGATACAATGTGGCATCAGTTTTCTTAAGTACGTGCCTATTCTGAAAATTGCTTGTAAAAAAGGGGTATGGGGCAGGGTCTGTATGTCCTTGGATCAATTACAGCCATATCAGATTTGTTCAGTTAGCAAGAGAAATGTTTCCCCTGACTGCCAGTCTGTCCCTCTCAACCTGGCATCTGATAGTCAAACTGGGGTTTTGTTGTTCTTGCATGCAAAGAACCCAGCTTTATTTTCAGCTTCCAGGTTGTTTGCAGGGCT